AGCTCACTCCGGAGTCTGGGATGTGGGAGAGCGGTTCCTGAGACGGAGCCTCCCTCTCGCCCCTGGGTACCGCTGCCCCCAACCTGGGGGTGAGGTGCGGACGCCTCGCTGCCTTCCCTGTGCGCCTTGGCCGCGTGGCTTGCAGCTTATTTTCCCAGCTGGCAAGCGTCGCGCTGCAGACAAGGGAATGCCTGTGGTGAGTTGTTTATTTTGCTGAAGTTTGCGGTGGGCCAGGGGGACGTGGGGGGCGAGCGGCAGGCAGCGGCCGTGACTGTTTTGTTTAGGTCTCCATCCACCTGTGTGGTATAAATCTGCCAGCCTCAGGGCTGCGGGGGGCCAGGGTGAGAAAGCCCTGGCTCTCCAAAAGGCCCCTTTTCGCCACTTGCAGACCTAGGATCATATTTGATTCTTCACGCCTGGAATCGGCTAGATCCTAGTTTACCCTGCCCCATAACCCCCATCAACGCTCTCTGCACCCGCTCAGGACAGGGCTGGCGCTCCCTAAGGCAGTCGGCGCCCACAGCCCGGGGACAGCAGGCCATTGAAGCCCTTCTCGGGTGCCCTTCCCCGTTCCTCGAGGACAGGGGAGCTGAGGCTTTGATGGGAGGGGAACCCATGAAATTAGTGGGAACTTGTTTCGACGTGAAGTTCTTTCAGAGGTGTCTGGTCTGACCGATACTGCAAACTGGAATCCTGGGTTGGCCGGTGTTTCACAGACTTTAGGCTGGAGAGAGGTAGGAGGTTGGCTCCAGGGGGAACACGGAGGAACCCCCAGGGCTGATGGCAGTCACGACCTACCGCGGCTGCGTTTGCCTAGAAGAAAAGCCTAAATACATTAGCAAGATGGTAAAGCTTTTAAGGCCTTCTTAGGAATGAGTGGCTGGCTAATGAGAGGTTAATTTTGTTTCGAAGGGAAGGCTGCACTGGTTTCCTGAGATAAATGGACAGGAAGCACATTACCTCCGCGCGCTGGCAAGCGGCTCCCAAATGCTTTTTGCACCTGCCGCTTTGAGCGGTGCGAGCAGCGGCGGAGCCCGCAGGGATCGCGGGGGCCCGTTGTGTACGCGCGGGTGATGAACCCCTCGCATGCCCTGGGCTCTCTCCCTCCGGGGGCGCAGCGCTCATGCCAAGCTCTGGGGCTTTTCTCTCACACCCAGGTCCTGCATGTTCCGGAGCACGGGGGGCCCCTGATCTCGCCAAGCCCCCTCCAGGAGCGGAAGGGTTAAGAATGATGTAAGTACAAACCACGAGCTGCTTGCCGCTGGGCTGTCGGACTCTGGGCTATTGCAGCCCTTGCTTTGCGTACACAGTGGACTGGAGAGCAGCAGGGGAGCCCTTACTCTAGAATGGGCTGCACAAATAGTAACCCGGTTCTGATTCCTGGCTCCTCAGCCGTAGGTGAGCTGTTAAGCAGATCTTCGTGTTTAGATTTTTGGAAAACGAGAACAGTTTCCGGGGAACAGTTAAGACATCACGCAGAGCTTCAGAAAATGAAACGGCACCTAGTTAGAATCCATTAATGTTTCTGGTAGGTGTTTCAATTCCATCCACTTGCACGTTCATACCATGGTATTCCTTGCTGGACCCCCAGAAGGTACTCTTCTGGTCTCGTCTTTCCTTCATGAAACAAAGACGAAGGGAGAAAGAGTACAATTCTCAAGAAACAGGGTGGATATTTGAGTCGTACAAGTTGTCAGTCACTCATGAATTTTTCTGCTTAAATATAAAACTTTTATAAGTCATCGATTTCATGTTTGTGTCCTAGCTCCCTCCCCGTATTTTTCTTTGTAGAGTCTAAAATCCTCCTTAACTTGCAGCACTCGAGCTTCAGGAGTGGCTGCGCTATAAGCGACCATTCACCAAGCTCTTGCTTTCCAAGCCGATCCGGATCTTGCTAACAGTCCAAATATACCCGCGAGTGTGTCAAATGACCTCATGTCTTGAAAATAGGAACCACCTTGTGGTTTAATTGTGAAAATTAGCATTTTCTTCTCGCGGCTGAACACTTATGCAGCAATAAAAAGTGAATTGTTAGGCTTATAAATCTTGAGCTTGTCAAATTTTACAACAGAGGAGCAATAAAGCACCTTAGAGATGAAGTTTTCCTCTGAAGAACAGTTCCGTTCACGACACAAGGATTTGCAGTAGCGACTCGAGGACGCCCTCTATTGATAAAATCTACAGCACTCGTGTACTTAACGAGCAGGATGGCAGGGGATGGGGGAGGACAAAAAAAATCATAGGAAGTCACAATTGGAGATACCCAAACGAAACTTAATTTATTGATTCTTAACTCTTGCTTATACGTTTTGAACTATGGTCAATAAAGTGGGATGCTTCTTTCATCGGGGTCGATTTAAATCTTGGGTTAAGAGAAAAAAAACTACATTTTACTGTTAGTCTTTGTTAGCAAAATACTTTCAAAAACAGTGTTGATTACTTTTTAACAGACATTTACTAGTAACTCATGAACTGTATTTCATTGATAATATTTAGTAATTGCAAGGGAGTAAATTTTTGCTCTTATGGTATTTAGTCCACAGCATTATCTAGAAATGTCAGATAGCCCCCTCCCCGCCAAAGTCATTTCTCCAGGCAACTCAAGCTATTACTAAGCATATAACGGATATAGAGAAGACTTGGATTATATCGTGGGTAGTGAAAAGTGTGTTTACCGCTTGAATCACTATAGTACGTAATAAGTTAAGTAATGAAAAGTTACAGTAAAAACAGCAGGCATCCTCCATTAGAGATCAAGTGGTTTGAGCAATTTACAATGTGTCTAACGAGTAAACTGGTGAGACCCAAGGTTTGCCCCCCAATTATCCTGGCGCATTGATTAGCACATTATAACATGTGGAACATTAACATGTCCGTGGTGTGGTTTGAGCAATTTACAATGTGTCTAACGAGTAAACTGGTGAGACCCAAGGTTTGCCGCCCAATTATCCTGGCGCATTGATTAGCACATTATAACATGTGGAACATTAACATGTCCGTGGTTGATGGGAAATTCTTACTTAGAGATTCTGAGTAACATAGCGGGTAGAGTTGCACACTGCAATTTGGATGTAAGTGGATGTAAAATGGCAGCCCTGCGCTGTTTGGAGAACGGCAAAGGTGAGGGGAGTATGAAGTGGCTCCCAGCCTTGAGGCCATTCTTGGGATTAGAAACCTCTTCACACCTGATAACAAATTGGAACCTATCATCAATCTCACAACTGCTTTCCTATGTCTCCACTTAACAGACTCTATCCTTGCAGACAATTTTTCCCCCTCATTTGGAGAACTATCCAATCGCAAAAGTAGAAACTGACCTGCCACTGAATTAATCTGCTAATAGACTGGAAATTTGTGGAAAAGCCACTGAGCAACAACAAAATCGGGGCATAATTACTCTATACTGCATAAAAGCTCACCACTCTCATTAATCTAATGACACTGTAACCGAACACGTTGAAGTTCGCCCACTATCAGACCCCTCCTCGCCGCTTTCAGGAAGGGAAAAGTCAAAGAAACAAGAACACCCAAGCCTCGGGCAGCTGCCAGCGAATTCCTCCGGGAGCTGGCGGGTACCTTCCCCGCCCATCCGACCTGCTCCGACCTCGGGTGTCATTCGACCTCCAAGGCGCCTCTGCACTGGCTTTACCAAACGTTCGCAACAGGCTCAGAACGCGGTTCCCCAGATGTGATTGGCTGAGAGTGGACCTGCCGCACGGCACTGGGTAGAAGCGCCAGCTTCCTCCAAGGAGCTGGTGAAAGCAGGGCGGGGGAGGGGTGACCAAAAAACCACAAAACTTGGGGGGAAGGTGAATCCGATCACATTAATTCAAGAAGAGGTCAAAGGCCAGTTCCTTTGTAACGCCGGCGAGAGTGAGAGTTGCCGTCACTCGTTTCTATTGGGCGCAAGAAAACAGTAATTCGCGGAAGGGGGTGGAGGGAGGGGAGAAGAAGGGAGCTGGAGGGAAACTGGGCGGGGAAGCAGCAGACGGGACCCGCAGTCGGCGGACGCGGAACTCGAGTTCCACTGAGCAGGCGGTAGGCAGAAGGAGCCGCGGGGGCGGGCGCTTTGGGTCCTGCGCGTGGCTGGCTGGACCCGGCGAACGCGCGCTCACAGCCAATGGGAAGGGAAGGAGGGGCTTAGCTGGGGTGGAGGCGGTGCGGATTGGCGGGTGCAGGGCGGGGCGGGGGGCAGTGAAGGGCTGAGATTGATTGACCGCGGGAGCCGCGGCGCAGAGATATCCGGGCCGCCCGCGGCCGCTAGCTGGCGTTGGGCGCGCCTCCCGTAGGTCCACGCTTGCCGAGCCCACGCTGGACCGGGCCGGGGCACCCGCGCGTTTGGAACTGTTCTCAGTATTAGCTCACGGTCTTTGTGTCTTCTCCCCCCCCCCTCTATCCCCGCCCGCCGCGATGCCGCTGTCCCGCGTTGCCGCCGCCGCCGACTCG